TCGTTCAAATGTTGCGCATGATCATCGGGGTGCGACTGGAAAACTGGCTGCGAAATATTTCTGGCCATGGTAGCAAACTTGGCCGCACACTCCGTGTCCTTGATGTGTCTATGATCACAGGGGGAGTTAGGCCCGAGCGGAAATAGCGCGCACGGGGCCCGCACTGCTGACTTACACGTCGGCCATGACCACGACATGATCATCATATCACATAGACAGATCTACTGTCGGATCAACCCCTTGTCGACTGATCGAATTGAGAGAGGCTTGAGGCACTGTCACGTAGTCAATGCGGCGTCTCGGGTCCTGGGGGGCTGCGCCAGGCGGCATCCGCGCGCCATGCATGCCGCGGAGAGGTTCCGAGAAAGTAGACGCCGCACTCTGTCCCGTAGCTTTTAGGAAATCGTGAAACAAGTGTCCAGTCTCGTTTTCCTGCTCGGCGCCAACGGGGCCCACGTGGCTGGACGGAACGGTCCCGACAGTGGCGTTTGCGTCCAGTAGACAAAACAGCGGTGCCTGACTGGGCCGCGTGAGTACCACATCACGCATGCGTGTCCACCACTGCGCAACCACGTCGAGACCTCCCGTCGCACGCGCACGCGGCGCGCGTGCAACAAGAACATCGATGCGCAACGAAGGGGCCCGCGCAGCTACGCGCAAATGCCGTGAGTCATGTGAGAGTGCCCGACAATGTCGTCTGTTTAGCGTGCAGCCAGGAAGGTACTCCAATCCTGTGTTCATCCACAACGCAACCCCGTTGCATAAATTTGCTTCGGCGGCTGACGTCATCACGAGATACGGATCAACTTCGCGCCCTGTGTTGTACCTCAGTCGCGTCTCAAGCGCGCCTACGAACAGATATTGGCAACGTGCAAACTGATGCGCAAGGGCCAGCATGCGGCCAGGGATATCCATGCCAGCTGCATCCCGGCACGTGCATCGTATCCGTATACCTTGCGAGCGTGTACGTCGTCTCCGTGGTCGCAGTGTAAGTACGTTAGCGACTGCGAACCGGAGTTTAGAAAGACTATGGCGCGGTATCCTGTGGACTGTCTGGGTCTGGATGCTAACTGTCTCGAATCGTCGATCCAGCATCGGGCGACGAGAAAGCTCGCCGAGGGGGCACCTCCGCAAGAGCAATCATGTCGAGGCGGGCCGGGGACAGCTTTGGGAGCTCCCTCGCACCGCGGTGGGCGTCGGCTGTTAACCAGAACCATGGAACCCTGTCCATCTGAGAGAGTAGTATAGACCATGGCACACCGTCTTCTGAACGATCCGATATATCCCTAATCGACACTAGGCGAGCAAGTGCGTCTACAAGTTCGTTCAGCGGATACGAGTGTGACCTGGCACATGCAACCATGCTGTCACAGTGCATACTCGCGCGAGCTTTGCGAGGGAATCTAACAGGATGGGCAACGCACCGCGAGACCTGTACCTCACACCTCCCGCAGCTGCTTCTACCACCATCATATTATCCGAACGAACAATAATGCGCCTCGAGCGATATGTCGAAGACGCCAGCAGGAGCCTTCAAAGAGCAGCATGAAACTCGGCGGAAATCGACGCGCCCACGCACTCCTCTTTGAGTGATGGGGCGGAGCCGGCCATGTAACCATCCATCCGACGTTTACCGCCCTGCGTCACGCAACGCACAGCAAACGCCCATGATGGTGGCCCCTGCATGTCCGTGCTGTCTGACCCACCTGCTCCGTCTGTGCACACTGCAAAATGATCCATGCCATCGTCGCGAACATCATTAGAGCAGGCATTCTGCGCCAGGAAATCAACGGCACTAGAATGGAGACGACGGCGAAAGAGACATGCCGCAGGATGTTGCGCGCATGGCGGCGCCACGAAAATGTGGGAGAGCACTGCGCCTTGCCGCGAGCAGCGCTGCTAAGTTGCCGCAATCGGGAACAGGAGTGACGGGCGGCGCATCCACGCAGAGCGAGGGCGCCGGGTGCCCCGGCAGAGCCGCGGCGCTCGATGCCAACGCGGGCTGATCCCCACTGGCGCCGAGCGGCTCTGCAGGCTGGCTCACCCCGTCTGCGACTGGCTCGCCTGCGTCACGTCGATATCGTCTTCCGAAGTCTGGCCAGCGCGGACCTCCTCCGCCTTCGCACGGCGGGGGCTGCGGGCACGGCTTCCGCCCCCTGCTGGCTCATCTCTCCCCGCGGGCTCGGGTCGCTCCTCGCCCAGCGCCGCGCGTGGGCTGGCCAGCAGCCGCCAGGCCCTGGGCCTGCAGGGCTGCCTTCTCGCCCGCTGCTGCCTTCGCACGAGCCTCGGCGGCGGCGCGAGCGCGCGCCCAGCGAGCCGCCTTGCGCTCGCCCCACGCAGCCTGACTGGCAACGGCTGTGACGTTGGCCTCCTGCTGTGCGTTCTCATCCTTGTCTGCGCCCGCTGCGTTAATCGCTGCCTGCGCCTGGAGCTGGGCTGCCGCCATAGCTGAACATGCCGCGGCAGGGGGCTGTGCGGCAGCGGCCGGTGGCACTGCGGCGACGTGCTGCGTGGGCTGCGAAGCTGGATGCGCGGCTGGAGTCGTCGCGACGGTAATCGCCGCCATGCTCGCTGCCGCCGTAATCTGCGTCAGTGCCGAACGCGGTCCTCCCAGCACTGCGGCCAGCCCCGCGATCTGCTGTGCCACGCCCACCTGCCTCTGCTGGAGCTCGGCGATGGCTGCGACCGAGGCGCCTGACATCTGGATGGGCGCCGTCGCCGCGGGCGTAGTGGGCGCCACTTCCTCCGCCACAGGCGTTGCGGCGCCATGCATCTCGACGTCGTTGGCGGCAGCCGGCATCAGGGGGAGGGTTTCGAGCTGCTGGAGCAAGACCTGTGCACGGGTCAGCTCGTTGGCATGACGCTGCTGAACCAACTGGCGGGCCTTGTGCACGATCATGGCTTCATGCGCCGCCTTCTCTGCGCGCTCGGAGCGGCGCGGGGCGCGCTCGACGACCGCCCGCTACCTCGCAAGGCGCACCTCCGGGGTCCTGGCCGCGATGATCATTGTCATCAGGACTGAGTACTCCTGCTCCTGCGCCTCCGAGATGCTGGTCGGTAGTCCGAGCTCGCGGGGCGCGCGAAGCATCTTCGCCGACGCCGCTGCCACGCGGCGGAGGTTGCGCCTGTGAATGGCCAAGGCAGCAGGGTCCGTGGGAGGCTGGATCCAGGCCGGGTGCGCCCGCGCCTGCTCTGGCATTGCAGGGAGCACGCCGAGGGCCTCCTGCGGGCCTGCTGGACGATCCGCCGTCTCCTCGGTCGACTCGGGCTCGCTCTCGCCGAACGTGACGTCGGTGGCTGGCGAGCGCCTGCGGGAAGGCACCTCTGGGGCTGGTTCCTCCGCAGGCTCGCCATCTCGCTGCTGGGGCTGGGCCGGCGGAGGCCGGCTCGGGCTGCGCTGACGGCTGTGGCGAGTGCTGCTGTGCGCCGGCCTTGAGGTGCGCCTCTGCCTCCGCTGGTGCTGATCTCGCCCGCTGCCCGCTGCTGCGTGCTGCTGCTGCTGCTGCTGCTGCTGGTGCTGCGGCCCGCTGCCTGCATGCTGCTGCCGGTGCTGCGACTGATCGCGGAACACGCTGAACGCCGCTGGACTCTGCTGTGGGAGCGGGTGGCAGGTCCTGCACATCAGGTCGCTGGCGGCATTTGCGTGCCCGCGTGCTGGACACCACCACGGCGGGGCCGGCGGGGGCGGTGGCGCCTTTGCCCCTGGCCTGCCACGCCATGGCGCTGTGGTGCGTTGCGAGACACTTCGCGGCGGTCACCAGACCCAGTACAAGTCGGGCCTGAGCACGCTGTTGTCGGGCACGCCTGTGCCACGCTGGCTCGCTGCTCTGCTGGCGCGGCGTGCCGCCCGCAGGAGTGCGCCGCGGCGCGGCGGGGCCCGCACGCCCAATGCGCGGGCGCGGGCCGGCGCGCGTGGCTGCCCGCCCCGAGAGAGGGCCGCTGTACCTGGTACAGCGCCCGAAACCTCTCGAACCGGGGCGGCAGCTTGGGGAGGAGGGAGGAGGGAGGAGGGGGAGGAG